TTATAACAAAAAGTCACCCTGGCTACAATAGCCATATACCATTCGGAGGAACAGACCTCCGGCCCACGCGATTACTCATGCGCAGAGGTAGTCATGCGACTCAGTAATTTCTATCGTTGTCAGGCTCGACAACTGACTACTGTTTTGTAAAGATGGGCGTTCTGATCTTTGTCAACGCATATCGTGCCCCAGGCACGGGTGGAACCTGGGAGCCCCTACTCCGGTGGAAAATTAGAGGTCTAGTGATTGTTGGAGGCGATTTCAATTATGTGTCACAGCATTGGCAACCGCTGGCAACAAATCAGTACGGCAATGGTAACCAGATTATGGAATGGGCAACAGCCCACGACATGGACCTAGTTAGCATTGTTGGAGAGCCAACGCACAGGGATTGGAACGTCCTAGATCTAACGTGGAGCAACACGGCCGCTATAGCATCAGTGTCCAACCGCTACCACTGTACCTCAGATCACTCGACCATCGAAGGTACCGTGCTTAACCCTACAGTGTCAGATCTCTCTGGAATTGTAAAGAACATTAGTGTCAGTGACGCCAACTTGAGGGAATTTAGCCGACGTGTTAACCAATGGGCAAAGCCAGGCCCTCTTGACAGTATCATGGACATCGAAAATTTCACGAATGTTCTCCTACAAGCACTAGGAGATGCGCTGAAGATCACAGGGAAATTCCCAGCCACCGAAAGCGGAAAAACTGGGCCATGGTGGACTGATGAATGTGGCACAGAATGGCAAGAGTACAAGGCAGCGAGAGACAACCCGGACCTCGCGAAAGAGGCCCGTAAGAGCTTCAGAGCCGTGGTGCAAAAAGCCAAGCGAGAGTACTGGAAGATGCAAGTGGAGGCAGTGACGACTGACGCACAGGTGTTCAAGCTCATGCGATGGGCTAAACCTCGACTAGCTGCTGATCCCCCTCACCTGCAGATTGATGAAAACCGGTGGCTATCTGACCCGCGATAGCGAGCTAGTGCGCTACGAGACATTCTCTTGGCTAGGTTTAGCAGCGAGAACGACATTTCTATCTGGTAGAACGGACAGGAGGAGCGTATTCCATGGGATACGGAATTATCACTGGACGATGTGACAAGCGCCACTGTATCTGCCAACGATACGGCACCGGGAGCGGACAAGATAACGGTACGGTTACTGAAAGCCTGTTGGTCCTATCTAGAACCTCTCGAGAAAGATCTTTACCAGGCCTGTCTGAAAATCGGCTACTTTCCCACGGTCTTCATGGTGGCAGAAGTTGTGCTTCTTCCAAAGTCGGGTAGAAATCTGTCAACTGCCAAGGGTTGGCGACCAATCTCGCTGTTATCAAGTTTAGGCAAAGGACTTGAGCGTCTAGTTGGTAAGAGAATGGCATGGCTGACGATAAGTTACCAAGTTGTTCACCCACAACTATTCGGCTCCGTACCAGGACGATCTGCAGTCAACCTTGCATCCTGCGTAATCCATGATGCTGAGGCGGCCATGAGAAGTGGTAAATGTGCGGCTATGGTCACACTCGACATTCAAGGTGCATTTGATGCAGTCCTTCACAACCGACTGCTCAAACGCCTTCGAGAACAAGGCTGGCCACGATCCCTGTGCCGGTTTATTCAGACATTTCTTTACCAACGAAAGGTTCAGGTCAAATACCGCGGTGGAATCACAGAAGAGAAGATACTGGAATGTGGAGTACCTTAGGGCCCGCCATTATCGCCACTTCTTTTCTTGCTCTACATCGCTGTGCTTTTTGAGGATCATGGTCTAACGAGCAGTTTTGGTTATGCTGACGATGTAGCTATTGTCAGAATTGGAAACACCGCGGCGAATGCTATCTCCGCAGCTCAAGACGACCTCGACAGACTTATACTTCTCGCAAGAGAACACAGGATCGATTTTGACCCAGCAAAGTCAGAACTTCTAGTAACCGGAGAAGGGCCTAGAAAGAAAATCAACGCGGCTGATCTTTCCATCTTAGTGAAAGATCGCTCGATCGAACCGTCACCTCATATCCGGTGGCTAGGAATCTGGCTTGATACCCAGCTAAACTTCCAGCAACATGTACAGGAATGGACTGGAAAAGCTAATCGTCTAGTCCATTTCTTACGACATATAAACGGAGTTCAATGTGGTGCAGTACCCGGACCTTTGATTCGTGCGGTACATGCACGTGTTCTGAGCATAGCTCTGTATGGGGCAGAAGCGTGGTGGCCAGGTCTCACTCGAATAACCACACTGCGAGATAAAGAAGTCGGCACTGGAGTAGGCTGGCACATATCTCTATTGGAAAAAACGATAATGAAAGCTATTAGAGTAGCACTCCCAGCGTGGCGTACCACTCCCAATGGCGCTCTTCATCGTGAAGCGGGAATACCCCTGGCATCGATAATTCTTCAGCAAAAGATGCTACAGTCTGCAGCTCGCATACGAAGAATGGATGCTTGGCACCCTCTAGCCATTCGGGCGGCCGAGGATCCGAAAGAGACAATAAGACACTTAGGTCTTAGACCGGGACAAAATAATCGTTTGTTTAGACAACCAGAACGGTACATGACACGCCTACAAATGAGTGTGCGTCGAGTTCCGTCAGCCGAAGGTCCTGGAAAGTTATACTTCCCACGTGGCACTCCAGCATCGACTCCATGTAGTCGAGAAAGTGAAGTTAGGTCTGGAAGCATAAAGCGGTGATTAGCTTCCCGTCCAGCTAACACAGTCTTCGCTTTCTCTGATGGATCATCATCGGGTCCCGGAAAATCATCCTGGTGTTATGTAGTATACCAAGGAGGCAAGCTAATTGCAAGTGGCTCCGGTCCACTTCTCGGAGCAGAGGTATTCGACGCAGAAGTTGTAGGTGCCATGAAAGCCTTGAAGGCTGCAATAGATGTAGGAGAAGACTTACTGATCTGTATTCTTCTGGACAACCAAGCGGCGACCCAGGTGCTCGAATGAGGAAGATCTAACTCCTTGCAGTCGGTGGTGGACAAGTTTTCATCGCTGAGACGCAATAAGCGTGTGGAAATACGCTGGATACCCGGGCATGTGGGGATTCAAGGCAATGAATAGGCCGATAAGCTGGCCAAATCAGCCTTGGGAGCTCCCAATAGCCGGTCACTAACCTCAGCTGCGCCCAGTGGAGAAGATCAAGATCTAACATTTGCGGCATTAGGGAGGTTGGTTAAAGAGCGCAGCCAAGAGCTCGTGGAAGAGTGGTGGCAGAAGTATCGACCGAAGCGATACAAAGATCTGGACCTATTCATGCGTTACAAAATATCACCGGAACTAGCTTTACCAAGATGGGCGTACCATCGTCTTATTGCGGCAAGAACAGGCCACGGGGACTACGCCGACTACCATCGACGTTTCAACACCGAACATGAAGATCTGAAATGCGTTTGCGGCCGAGAGAAAAGGCCCTGGCATTTTTCAGAGTATCGACCTGCTCTGCTACGTTTGAGAATCTATGAGTAAATGGCCCCACCTTAGGCCATGGAAATGATAGGGGAAAAGGGATGGCAGAAGTTCATTCAATTCTTAACCACAAGCAGATGTTACAGTCTGCCGAAGAATGAACAGGGTGGGAGGTGACCACGCTGAGGTTGTTTCTGACCCGAGAGGAGATGGGTGTGGAAGATAGGGATGCGGCGCAGGGCACCGTAACTCAGACACATACTTTTCATTTTTTTGATTCTTTTCATTTGTCGCTTCTGGCTCCACTGTCAGTCATGTAGGTAGCAATGAGCTTTCAGAGCCCATTTACCCGTGTCACGTCTAAATAGATGTTAGGTTCTTCCTGTCACGTAAAAGATTTCAAATTCAATTGATATTATCTAGAATTACACATATATTTCACTAATAATTTCTCTGTATTGCAAAAGTATACGTTGAAGTCCTCAGTATGGCTCGCAAGTAAAATGAAACCATTCTACATCCTTTATATTAGTCTGCTCCATCCTAATGCTTTGTTTACCCTCAATTTCCCTTTATCGCCGCTATACATCTTTCGTCCATGTTAACCTCACTTAACAGAGGCTTCTTCCGAGCAATGCATCTGCTGTAACCCATTTAATTGAGAGCATTTGAAAGTTAATGCTCATTTCATCCCTGGTGGCTGAAGGGTCCCATGGCTAGTTCCAAATAGCACATCTGTCGATTTTCAGGAGACTCCCAGACGAAAGCCTCAAGCTCATCGACTTATTCCGCGCTTAATTTTGGTGAGGGTCCTTTGCGAGGCATAGGATTCTCAGTCTCTCGAGCACGCGCGAGTTGTAATTGTCTTATTGTGAAGCCAAGTTCGTCGGATGTATGTTGTAATGTCAAGCCAAGTCTTCTTTGTGTTCTTATTTCAATACATTGATCGCGATTTAGATGCCTGCGAACTTAAGTTTCTGAAGCAGACTTTTCGAGAGACATTTTTTGCTAGAATAGAGGATGAATTGATAGTGGTTTTCAGATTCAAGGACTATGTAGGTAAGGCAGCTAAAAGCGTCGTTGAAATTGTATTTATCTATCTGATTGTTAGAGGAAGACTATTGGACCATGCTACATGGCGAGCGGGATAAGGAGGAGTACATACTAACCTATTACGAGCTAGTCCAACTGCGCCTACAGGGCTAATCCCTTAGACATCCCATTTTCGAGGTTAACATTTTATATCCCAGAGGCACTGTAAGTACGTTGAGGTGCTAGTTCGGACTTCACAAGGGTGTCGGAGCCAATCCTACACCCTATCCAACTACCAATCCAGCGTGTATACCACAAGACCGCCAGGTTCTTCGCTCCAGTCGAATGATTTGATCTAAAATGCGGGGCATTTATCACGTGCTTGCAATCAATACTGCTTAACTTCATTACTTCGATCCTCCGTGGAATTTGCTCTGAATTTATCTATCGCCGCAAGTATCTGGTGAGGTTTTGACGTTAATACCTCCAGATAACATATTCCTCAAACAGTCTTATGAAATTCATGCGTCTTATTTTACATTATTCATTAATACTCAAATGTCATCTTCCAAACGAGTAAGAACTCCTGCTAATCAAGTCTATGATTGCATCGCTTCGGCCAAAAAAAATGATGTGGTTACTCCCAAGCAATCTATTAAAAAGCATGCAACGTATGGAAAAAAATCAAGCTCAAAAAAGATCTCACATGACAGAGTCTGGGAATGGGACAAAATACTAAAGGAACAGTCAATAGAAGATAAAGTGAATTTCCCCAATGATCAGCACGTTGATCGAGATAGCAAAGCTCCCATAGAAAAGCTGAGATGTAAACCATCAACAGGAACAGACAACCATGACACCGTTTTCATAGAGAAGTCGGAACCCCTGTCTAGGAAACCTAAGATTAGTGTAGATACTATAAACAATACCTCAGATCATCTTGAGTTAGATAATAAGAGCCGGAGAAAAAGGCGAAAAAAATCGATTAGCAGTAGTTTATCTGTTAAATCTGTGGACCATTCTAAAAACTTGAGTAAAAAAGCCTGTAACTTTCCTGTAAGGTCTAAATTGGAGGATATTAGCAAACATGATAAATTTGAGAAAAAAGTTTTATCTTTAAGCAATGAGAAATGTTTACCTTCCATTAATCATAATTCTAACGAAGGAAAAATAACACCAAAATCGTCTGAACAGTCCAAAGATTTTCCTTTGACTCAGGGCCAAAACCAGTCGAACTTAACCTTGGTTCCCCGGACACCAGATAATGCTCATGATCTCGAAATTCCTTCATCTCAGTCACCAGGAACACCCTTACTACTTTCATACCAAGGAATAAGAAAAGCTAGCTCTTCTCCAAAGGAGAAACAAGCAATTACACCAACTAGGACTAATGTAAAAAAGAATACTGTCGTTAGCCCTCAAGAAAATACAAATTTCCGCATTAAGGATAGTTATTTTTCAAGTACTGATATTAATTATACGAAGAATCTACCCTCCACTCCAAGTCCTCTTAAATCAAGATGTACCTGTGTCAAAACTATACCCGATTCATTTTCCGGCATAAGTCAGATGAACAATCTCATTTCTCCAACAACATTAAGCTATCAAAAATGCTCAGAAAATTGCGTCTATGATTCCCAAACTGTAAAATTATTCGGTCTAGCCGCTCAAAAACTGTTTGAAATGCCAGGGGCTGAGGATAAAGCAAACGAAAATCAGCATGAACCTCCTGAGTTGAAAAAAAAAATAGAAATACCGGACTCTGAGGCTGAAAGTGAGGAAGAGCTCGAACATGGAAATAATTTGTCCGCACGACAAGAAGGCTCGATTGAAGAGATAAACCTAGAGAATACCTTTGCCCCAAAGAATCAAAGTTATTATTTTGAAGCATACACCTCCTCGGTAGATCCCTCAAGTGAGATGACTAAGAATATTAATAACTTAGAAGGGAGATCAAAATCTCGTTATGAAGAGACGATAGAGTCTCAAACGCATCTCGAAGTAGCGAGACTTGTTGCTCCTGGTGAGTATTTAGAAGCTGCAAGAAGAGAAGAAGAATTACCAAGTTGCAAGATGTTTAGTACAGCTGAGAACTTTAAACCCTTCGAGGGTAGCTTCAAAGAAGATGGTCACCAGAATAAAATAATTCAATATGGATCACCTCAAAATCTCTCTCCCCAATTTGTGACCCAGATGGCACCAATAACAAGAGATTCAGACGTCTTCATATCCATTGATTCGCAAAGAATCACTGAAATTATGAATAGGACTAGAAATCACGAATTGAGAAGATATAAATTACCACCTTCAGTTCGGCGTGTATGGTTGTATGAAAGATCTCCGGTATCTGCAGTGAAGTATGTAGCCGAGATAAGTTCAGCTAAGCGTCCAGGTGATATTATAGATCCTGTCGGTATCGGAAATATGGCCTTTAATGCTAAAAAAAAGACTACATCTTGGATTGCTTACGAAATATTAGGGCTATATGAGTTGGCAAGTTCTCTCACTTTAAACGAACTTCAGGCGAAAGAGTGGCTTAAAATCGCCCCAGATCCTACAAAATGGATAGATATTCAGCCCGCAGTTGTTGATGAGTTAGTGGCCAATATAAAAAGAGATATGTTTGATGGTATACCTGACTCTAACCCCCCGATGCCAATCACAGACGCTCAACATTTTAAAGATCCTTTCTTCACGACGGCTGGGAATCTTACACAATTCTTATCCTCACAAGATCATTCCAATGACCAAATTAAAAATAACGAAACCATTTATAGCACACGTAAAATTAAAGAGACTAGCCCGAAATTTAGAAGTGGAACTTATGCTTCGTCTCAGGCGACAACAGTAGATCTCACCCAGGCACGGACACCCTCTCATGGCTCTAATATTGATTACATTTCAGAATCACCCTTACAATCCCATTCTATCAGTAGTCCGCTGAGACTTCCTAGGCTTCAAATAAATCATGCACCTCGTAATTCAAAGCAAGAGACAAATACCGATTTTCTGATGGAATCACCGCAGCCGTTTACCAAAAGTCAGTTACTACCAGAAAGCTTATTTAACGGCTTCCCTTCAATTCCTATATCAGAGGATATCGAAGATGAAAGCAGTAATAAATGAATTATATTAGACATTCAGGGAATTTCTATTCGGAAAATATCTTATAAGTTGATGGCCAATCTTATCACACAAGTACATTTATCAGAAAGGAATCCCACTATAACCATTACTTCATTTAAGTTTATTGTTGAGGAAGATAAAATTTTTATGCGTGATATAGCAGCGCGATCTGCTCGGAAATGAAATTCTTGGGAAATTCCCAAGAAAATAATGTTAAATTGGCTTAAATTTTATATACAAAGTTTAAATCGTATTTGGGGGATTGCTCCAGTATGTACAGAACTATTTGCGATTAAGACACAGTGACCTAATATTCATTGGTTTGGTCATAACTTTGGGATACTTCAGTATCTCTTACCTAATGAAGTTAAATAATGTCTATATAGATGACGGAAAAGGCCTGTTGCTACACGTTTTAATCTATTTTAAAATTAAAACTTTTTGGCAGTTTCATTAAAATAAATGAGCAGAAAAAGGAGACGGGTAAGGGAGAAGCTGTAGGAAAATTAGCTTTTTAAGCTCAAGCCCAAAACAAGTTGCCATTAATTTTGCATTGGCGAAGGTAAACAGCCTAGCCAACTTTGTACAATTTTTATAGGCTAAGCTTTCTTGAACTCTCTTTGACCATTGTACATAAAACTTAAGATAGACTTAAGGACTTAGGTTATGTCTTGCATTTCACTGGAGGTACAGAAGAGGAAACAGTCATCATTACTCGAAAAATTGGGGGTTATTCTGCATCAAACGAGTACTGATATGGTTCATTGATAAAATCCTGATGAGTAGATAGCACTGGCCGTAGGACATGAAATTTGGAGCTGCGATATGATAGTAACTGTGCCGACACCTGAGTTCAGACTTATAATAGCTGTGAATAACCAGGTGCAAGTATATTGAAATTTTTGTCATGATTGTTGGATGGGGTTTAAATCACGTACGTGAAAATGAAATGCAAAGGTACTGACTATGAAAAATCATTATTTTCTTGCTCATCCTAAGTTGGCTAGTCCAACGGCTATCTTCTAGCAAATAATTCCTTTAGATAACTAATATATGAATACTGGAAGTAGATTTGATAAAGTATGGGACTAAATATAACGTTCAAAATTTTGCAGTCACTTCTCTCTGAAAATGCTGCGACTTAGCTCCTAGCAACGTACCACGGATATGCTCATTTACACGTTACTTTGGAACTACTCATACAGGATATATAAGTTCTCGTAATGCCTGACTAAGTTTACTCCTGAGCTAGTAATATGTGTGTATTTGTGTCAACCTAACCATGACCTGCATCCAAAGCGATGTGAAACCGACAAGAAAGTACATATAACCCTGCAGGCTAAGTGCGCCAAGATCTCACGTGAGACATACTGAGCTCTAAACGTTTTACCTGACGTTATCTGTGAAAATATCCTGTAACTGTTTGTACTCCTGTAATCATGTACGAGTCGCATTCCTGTAACTATCTATATTCGTGTTATCTACGACTCGTAAACTTGTACTAGTATTAGTCGCTCCTGACAGTTGCTGTTTGCGATATTGGAACTAATCGTGTTATTACTTCATACTTAGGACTATTTGGCACATTAAGCTTGCACAATAGTATGGGGAGATTATATTGTCTGTACGTGGGTGATTGGATGAAGGACGGATGGACTTGTATTTAAAGAGAGATGGAATACTTCATAGAAATCAATCAATCACATTTCTTCACTCTGAGATAAACTTCTTAGTCCCGATTTATCAACAATTTGTTTATTTCCTATGAAGTCTATGACTATGTAAGGACATGTAGGTCTTTTCTGCCTACAGGCCGGGAGTATCGATGCCTCATTCATCACTTCTTTCCAGCAGTAATAGCCTAACAGGTCTTCATTCGAGTACACACTAAGAGGAGATTTTATCCTGTCATTATCTAAAGAAGTGTTGGAAATTCAGACTCTATGTGTCTGAAGTTTCCTCATGATTGGAACAACTAAGATTCTCACATATGACTCACGGCCTGACTCACGACCTAGATGATTGATATCTCCCTTACTGAGCGTGTTTGATGCTTGAGACTCGATTAGTGCATGGTATGGTCTAATACCCGTGTAGGCTTTCATCCACCGACCCTGACCCCATACTCATATTGTATACTGTCGTGCGTTTCATTGTCATTGTTAGAGTATGGAACGAGTAATGGATAGTATCTAGTCTGGATTTGGTCTATCAAGTATACATGTATATAAGCTGTCTAGGAATCACCAAGACAGATAACCTAATCAATTCAATTTATTCAACCCATCTTTTATTTCTCCACAGTATATCACATATTCTCCCGATTCATATCATAATTATTCTATTCATAAAATCACGCCCATATTCTTTGAGCCGCCTTACTCATCGAACACATACCGATTTTCCAACAAGAAGTCTGGTACGTGTATTTAGAAGAGTAGTTGAATTGTCAGCCTTTTATCCTTCATTATTGCACAAGCTTCCCTCTACCAACAAGTCCACGAACTAAGTAGTGGGATACATTTCAACACCTTGGCTATCACCTCAAGCCTCTATTGTCTGGTGATTCTTGGAAATATAACCGCTTACTCGCATATCTCGCAGTATCTGAATTATCCATTGTCCTTGCTTGTCATTCTATGCCAAGGCAATATGTGCAGCTTCCACTATTGCTGTAGTTGCAGTTGTTTGCTTCTGAATCCCCGGGAAAACAGGAGCTCAACCAACCAAGCCTCAACATGCAATGATACTCTTCCTATCTGACAAATCACTTACCCAATCAGCATCAGAATAAGTGAGTAATCCGCATATAGGTCCGAATCCAATTCCGGCTTGTATCACGTTTCGGAGATAGCGCGGAAGCCCCTTTACAGCAACGCCATAATGTTCAGATGGGTTCTGCATATCCTGGCTTTATGTACCCAGTGCAAATGCAATATCTAGTCGTGTACAGATGATGGCACACATTGAGGGCCCAACAGCTTATCGATACCAGGTGGCATCTATTTCTTTATCACCTGAGGTTACTTTATGCAGATCTTTATGGTTTTCTATGAGGATTATCATTTCTCGATGTGCTGTAATAGGCAATTCAAACACTTAGTGAGAATTTCTTCTAGATGTAGCTCTTGATCAAGCTCAATAGATCTTGCGCCTCCATCACGTGCCACGTGAACTCCTAGAATCTTACTAGGTTCCCCCATGTTCACGGCAATGAAGTGTGCACTCATTTATCCGAAACCCCAGTCTAGCTCCGCTGTAATAGATGCATCAGACGCCAATTTATCTACGCTTCTGTTGTGATCTAACGCTGTTCAATCTGCGGACTTTGTGGTGAGCAGCTATTACATCTCATGCGATGGAACACGGGAGCGAAGTAAAAGAGGGGACAGCCCGTTAGCCAAATCTAAGCGATGACGGGCACATTGTGGATCCCAAGAATCCTGGTCGTCTAAGTAAGCCAGAGGCAAGATCAGGCCTACGCTAAGTCAAGTAAGACGGAGTCAAATGCCAGGGAACGAGAGCAAATATCAGTGCGTAGTAAAGAGGCAAATAGTATTCAGGGATGGCGCACGGTGTGTAAAAGGTGGCGAGGAGTTTAGGGTTGTGCTTAAATCATAGCATAGATCTCGTTGAAGGGACACGCAATTCAGTCTCAAGCTCTTTCCTCACTATCTAAAAAAAAATATTGGGAATTAAAATGGTTGAATATATCGAAATTTGTTAGTCTCTTTAATGTAGAAACTAGAAGTCCTCTATAGTCATAGAATCAGATAGGACTATAATAAAATCTAATCTAATCTAATCTAGTCTCAAGCTCTACCACCTTAAGTTGTAGTCAGGAGCCATGAGACACCGCGTAACCATTGCACCACCCTACCTTTGTGATAATCACACACCCCGTTTCCGATAAACACCTAGTGCACGCAACAAACCTCAACATGTAGAACTGTAGCACATTCTCTGTAGACAGACATAACAAGCAATTATCATCAAATAATTGAATTAACCTCCACCAAATTGAGACCTATAGAAGTGCCAAACTTTCACACAAACCTCAATTGTATTGTCGCATTCGCATCTAGAACGAGCCATCACTGCATTCTAGAATATACTATCTAAGTGTGATAAGCTACACCGCCAGGTCTAGCAAACAATTACAATAGCTTGTTTGTTTGTAATTTAAAGTGCTAGGCAATTGGCATCCTTCGAATTGCTATTGCAGCTTGAGCATGAGTGGAGCCAGGCGGCATCATGTAAACTACCATATAAGTACATATACCTCATCCCACCTCAGACTTCACCCATGTGTTAAATATGTTAAATGCAACCGTCCAGAGAACCCAGTTTTGAAACTTCGAAACGCAATTTCCTCCTTAGTCCTGACCACCATGCGCCCGAGCCATTGACACCCTCCCAATCTCCGATTTTGCCTTCCAGTTCAGTCTCACTAATACATCATCCCAGTCTCTCCTCATCTCATCCTCTAGTCATGTTCTTCATTGGCTGCCTCATCCAGTAACTCACCAAGTTCTCCTAAGTGTTTCCTCCATTATCGCTGTCCTTGAACCATACGTCAACTTCACCGTATTAGACAATTTGTAGACTTTCCACCCCTCCGGTCCTGCATCGTCACTACCGTACTCCTGCTCGTAGAGGCCGAATATGGACCGATGAGCTCAAGACCGAAGCACCAATGCCTCAGCTTTTGTCAAATGCACTAGTTGATGTGCCAGCGAAATGTCGTCGGTAGCGCTTCGTCGTAAAGCGAGTTTTTGGTGCCCTTGGCTGAGGTATAGACATAGATAAGGCCGGAAATTTGACCGTACCCTCACAGCGCAAGACAACTGCGAGGAGATTAATATCCACTTGAATCTTTCATGGTGAATTTGACTTTTGAAGTGTTTCAGTGTATCACGAATCATGTGTAAAAAGCAATGATTATTTTCGTAGAAGATAGCAATTTATGTTTCGGCTAATTGTGAGCTATTTAGAGAATTGGTTAGGTATTTACACATACCATTTCATACCATCTTTCGTCCTCATTCTCAGTAATCATCACAGCTTATTGACCTAGATCCTTTTAGTAACTTCCCGTCTCGTCCCTTGAAGGTTCGCATTACTCTCTCAAAGATTCTAGGTAGCCTTTAGAAGGTTCATCCTTCATTGCTATAAGTTTCTCACCCCTCTAGATGATTCCCGGTCATCTCTGGTTTAGTCTCGAATCTTTCTGTTGGTAAAACACGATATAACACAAATTTGGTGCCGTCACGAAGTCGGTGAATAATGTCAATTAACTGGTATCTCGAAATACATAAAATGTTGTCTCTCCTTCCTCCTCTCCATCTTCCCTTTCTTCCTCTACTCCAAGCGCCTCGCTAATGAGCTAAGTCAGATCCCTATCAGTGTCCTAACGACAACCTGAATACCGCAATAAGATAGAACAATTCATACTGCCCAAATATGATCCTTTTACCGACAGTTTCACCAGATAGATATGCTAGGTAAGCATATCTAAGGATCCACGAGAATGTTCCTGTAAGAATGATTAGAAGTAGAGGACTGTCTGCGCTAACAAAAGTAGACTACAGGCATTACTCGGTTTACTGACCAGTACACGGTGATTGGTGAGATAATTGTGTAGAGGGTCGCGAGAGAAGATTATTTGGAGTATATTTTCCAAGAAAATTTGATAAAGTGAAGGTTGTCAGTTGTTTTAGTGCAAAAACAAGACAGGTTTTGTCCTATCTATGGTGCGTATTTGGGATGCAGATATTTGTATTCGTTGGATTAGCACACACAATGCTCTTAAATTGATAAAACTCCTTGTTAAGATTCGGAATTTCAGACCAGTCGATATAGTATCCTTCCTTTGCACCATGTGGTAAACTCAATCTGATGTCTCTCACGCCCATTCTAAACATCTGCCTCCTAAACTTGTATACCAAGCTGTTTTCGATGTCGTATATAAATATCAGTACGTGCGTGAATTTGGTGGCCAGCTGAGGCGTAGTCTTTGACATCAGGGCACGCTAAGTTGTACCTGTAAACTTGATGGTTTTTTGGTGGGAACTAATATTATTGGGAGTGAAAGATTAATTTGGTGGAGAGTCTTGATTCATTCCCCGGTGTGCCAACTTGTTCGGTGTTACGAAATTTGACTGAACCCGGCTCAGAAAGAGCATTTCACTCCCAGATTCGTTGAGGATACTAGGAATAGATGTCCAGTCTTTGTACCCCTATATTGCGATTACATCATTCGAAGAATTTAGAAACTGAATAGTTCTCTCGAAATATTGGATGTACAAATGTAAACAGAGTAGTCATGAGCAGTTATACTATCTGTATTGTCTCGATAGACAGACACGGCCAGAGGCCAAGAAGATTAATTTCATCCAGGTATTTATGAGTTTTAGCTATTAATCTATCTTTAGATTGTTGGTTTTCTCTAGCTTGTAGATAATAACACATTTGATGGACTGATTGATTCATTTAATGTTGCTGGAAGGATACCCTGAGAAAAAAAGTTGTTGTAATTCGTGACGGAGGCCGTTATGTAACTGAATGCATATTTTGCTGTGTGAATGAGAAACACTTTGTAAAGCCATTGTTGTGTATGAATGAAAAACAAGATCTGAGTACGATTAGAATTTCGGGTTTAATCCCTGCAGATTTTGCCGCGCCTGACAAGGACGATTATAGATATTTTATAATTGTTGCGTGTGCTTCATCAGTCCAACAATAATCATCGCCCTGAAGACAAGGAGCTATTGCATATAATCAACTGTTAGAAATTTTGATTCTCCATTCAGATATCGTTGCGTCTCGAAATAATTCGGTCTGCATTATTCTAAACGGGCTGTCTCGGAGGTGCGCATCTCTAAATATTCCTATATCTACGAAAAGTTGTGCCGAAGTTGCCTATACCTCGAGAGAATGCCCAAGCGGAAAAGATACGCTAACGCAGATAAAGATTACAATGGAACGTTACAAAAGAATGCTGTGGCCCGGCAGATTGCGCAAGGTCGCAAACTTCTCCACCGAGCACTGAAAACTGCCAAAGGATTCGAACGTCAGAAACTAGGAAAAAGATTGACGCGCGCAGACTCGACGGAATTGAAGGCACGATTAAATATGGAGATTGATGTGCTTAGGGCCTTAGATCTAGATAATGTTGCGAATACTCATATGTATAAGACGTTTTTCAAGATTAAGGCCTTTCGATACAGTGGGTTTATGACTGAAGATCTTGTGAAAAAAGAAAAAGAAGAGAAATCTACGGATGCTCACAGCATCGCAATGAACAATGTTGTTAGTGGAATCTTGAACATGAAGACAATTAAGGAGACTACCGAACGTATTGTGAAGGACATGTATCATACATTGGGGATACCTATATCTACACAGAGGCTGAAGAGCGAGTCTGATACAAAGCATTCAGTTAATCGTCAAGACTCTTCTGTTGATATAATTCCAAAACTACACCTTCCTGCCAAGAAAGAAATCATCAAACAAAATGATATCAAATCGCCTGATGAGGGAGCAATTGAATCTAGTGAAGAAATCGAGCGAATTAATTTTCTTGGAAGTCTAGACATCCAAGAAGATGCTTCTCTTGATGAGGACAATTGGTCACAATATGATGAGAAACTTGGCACTTCTTCCAGCGAGACAGACTCAGAAAAAGGGGAATACTCGAAGAGACGGGCACCACTACTGTCTTCTCCACCAAAACTAGACGCCGAATCAGAAGATATCAATCAAAGTCGCCCTCACGACTCTTTGTCGCGCAAAGCTTTCGCGCAAGCTAAACCCCGATTGGAAAGTAAGGCTTATTACGAAACAACCCCTAAAATTCCAATTAAGCCTGGACTTTCGACGTTCTTACCTACGCTTATGGGCGGCTACTGGTCTGGTTCTGAGGAATCAGCCTCAGATATTGAAGACTTGGCCCCTATAAGTAAGAAAAATAGACGTGGTCAAAGGGAAAGGCGTGCAATTGCGGAGAAAAAATATGGTCAAAAAGCTAAGCATATCGTCTCAGGTCAAGCTTCTAATAGTAAAAGTAAAGAAAGAGATGAGGGCTGGGATCTAAGAAGAGGTGCTACCATTAATACAGGGCTAGCTGGTCGAGGCCAGTACCCGAGAAGAGCCTTCTCTCGGCCAAAGCCACAACAGCAAATAGACAAAACTACGATTAAAATAGGGAGAGACGGGGCTAATCAAGTACGGCATAGAGATGATGTTGGCATACTACATCCAAGTTGGCAAGCGGCGAAGAAGGCAAAGGAAAAAAAGCAAACAGCCGTATTTCACGGAAAAAAAGTAACATTTGATTGAATTTACATCATTAGATAGCCTTAGCTCTTGTCTAAAGAAAGCTGGCAATAGTAATTATTTGTGGTAATGATTCTGTATCAATCAATGCTAATGAATGGATAATTTTTCCAGCCTAGATAATCTAGAAAAAGCTAGAATGTTGCGTCATGTAGAGCTAGAGAGGGAGCAAGAACACTACTTCCAGTGTTAGAACCTAGGAGTCAACCAGTGTAAGGGGTTACCAATGAGATCTAGAATGAAATCTGATATCTCTATATCTATCTGCGAAGGTTCTGGATATCTAAATAACTAATATGAAGCTTGAAATACTGAAGATTCCACTTTCAGAAGATTTCAAGTTGATGAGAATCAGCAAGAAAGCGTTGAGAACTAGTAACATCGAGCTATTTTGTAGCAGCTTTTGTACATAGAGAGAGAGGTACGTTTATTGAACTATTCAAATCATAGACTATCTAGCACACTGTGCTCCTCTCCGACCAAGGCCAACCCTTGTACAGTGCTCGTTTCCTCTTCTGTTACTTGAAAAATCATTGATATATTGCCCGTGATGGATAGCCATTAAGCTTAGTGTTTACCTGTGGAATTCGACCACCTTTTCCACGGAACCTCCTACATCAAAAAAAATGAAAATGGTAGCAATGGTAACTGCGTGCGCGGGAAAAAGTCTTAAAAAACCTGCAATCCCAGCCAGGCGAGGCATAGACACCGGGACCACATGAGATGCGCATATTCATCTGTATCTCACGTCTGTATCATTGGAGGCCAACTTGATACAATCCACAATCGTAGTATTGGGAGCTTGGTATGCTTCGGAAAGTATCGGGATAATTTTTCCTCCTGACCATGAAGTGAGTCGACGAAGAGTTCGACTCCGGCCTTACCATTTGATCTCGTCGTAGCTAGCTTCATAAAAATGCTGCTGTGGGATATGGATAAGAGAAAAATACCATTCAGACTCGGGAGCGGTTGGGCATTATGATAGAAATGAAGACAAAGGAGCTACTCGATCTCGGCTCTGCAGACCCTTAATTGGGAGGTGGAGGTTCGTAGGGGATACCACTGACAGGTGTTGAGAGAAGTCCCCCTTCTATATAAATATCGTCCTATTACTCACGGAAGTTGACCCAGAGTTTTCCTTCCTGTAAAATTCTCCATGGTAGTCCCTCTTGTTCTACCCAGCAATACCTCTACATTAGAAAATTGAAAGCCTGTCCAGATATCCGGTCTTTTTACGTTACTACCATATCTCTTACTGTGAAAGCCGAATATATGAGTAAGAGCTGAAGACTGAGACACCGATATCATGGGGTTTATCGAATTCTCTGCTTGATATGCCTGCGAAATATTGTATCTTCCTCTTCTGTTGCGATTCTTCACTGTCCGAGGTTACAGTCGCACACTTACGGGGCAAAAGTTTTGGAAAACTTGAAATCCTCTTGTATCTTTCATGTTGATTATGATTTATAAGTTATGAGTTACAGGCTTGTTATGGTGGGCGATGAGATAAATTTGTAGCGTATTATGGGGCGACTTGTTACAAACTGTGAAGGATTTCCAGGAGGAAATATCTCAAAGAACAAGTGTACGATTTCGGACAAGAATTTATTGATAATCGTTTATGATATCGAACTCTCTTCTCAATATGAATTAATAATATATAATATTCCGTTATCTTAGTTTAACATGTGCACATAAGTCTATCCTTAAATACAGATCCCCAAGTCTTTAGTGACCCCGAACTCTTAATGATCCAGCAACAACCAGCCACCTAATTATCGCAAAGTAGCATTTCCTAGCCACTGCACTTCAGATACCACTGAACATCGTGTCGCACATCTGAGCTTAATCATATGGAATCGAATCAATTCAGTTGATCTTGATGACCAAACCTAGAAATCTAAACCTTCAAACATACTAAGTCTAGATTTCCAATACGACTTGGGCTAGAAAATATCTTTCAGGCAAATTTAAGATGGTTAAAAGTGCCATATATTGTGTTATTGACGTCAAATATATTTGAATTTATCACCGGTTCGTAATTGGTATTTAGTTGACTAATATTATTGGTTTTTGCAAGTGGTGCATTGGATATAAAAATCGATCTAACGCCTAGCATCACTATCGCCATTTTGATGGATGGAGAGAGATTTTTGTTTATTGTACTGCTTGAATCATAAGCTATCTAGCACATAGGACTCTTCCCTGGCCCAGGCCACACTTTATACAGTGCTCATATCCTCTTTTATTACTTGAAAGATCATTGATATAATGCCCGTGATAAGTAACCATTCAGTTCAGTGTTTACCCGTGGTCATGTTGACGGAGGTTTATATGCATATCAATTTTGGATGCTGAGCCTTGTCTCTGTACAGTTTTACATCACAATATTAGAAAAGGTAAAGACAAACAGACGCTGAGGCTATCATATCTGACGAGTTAGGTGATGCATGCAAAACAATAATATTTTTCTCCCCCGTCGTGGTCCTTAGGCGTTTCGACACACCTTTTGTCTTCAGCCCCCCTCCTTTTGACAGAACGCGACTACAGCACGCGAACATATTCAACAGCCTTTACGGCTCAAGCCGCTCATTATATCTTCTGCTATCTATCTATGACACATTATTATTTTCACATGTAAAAACTACACTAATTAGAGCAAATAAATTCGGAAGTTGTGATCATGCTGATATCCACTTCAACGCCTTGCTCGCGCAGCTCGGAACATCCCGGGTCGCCGATCGCGAGATAATATCTGCAGCCCTCTTGATAAACCATGGCTTTAACACTACGACGAGAAATACGACGCGCCTTGTCGCATTTTCACAGCGACGACTGGCCTTTTCAGTGTAAATCACGTATCAATGGCGGGAAAATCGGTAGCCAAGGGTCGTCGAAAGGTGAAGAATGCATCGCGAATGTCTACGCGGGAAAGCCAGGTTCCTGAGATATATCGAGAAATGCTCGCCGAAGCTCTCCCCCAGCAGAGTCTCAGCTCCCCACAATCCTCAAATCAACATAAAAATACGCTCGCTCCTCGCCTGGCCTCAGTTGCTCAGGTCAACCATTGTGCCAATGATCTCGATGACAAACTGGACACTTCTCCGGGTCTTCAAGCTCGCACCGATGCGCGTCAAATCTCGCCACGTAAACAGAGAGTTCACCTAGATTCTGCCGAAGATTCTGATGAGAGTGATTGTGATTGGCAGGACATAGAGTTTAACATGGCCGCTTCCAACGAGCCCATGGACCGAGAAATTGAAATCACATTGACAAGAACAGATATTTCGGAGCAAAGGAATACGGCTCGCAAGCGAAAGGCAACCACTAAGGCAGATCGGCTTTATAGAATAGCTCTTCACAAGATGCATGTATTATGTCTTCTATCCTATCTTGCTCGACGCAATTCATGGTGCAATGATAATGAGGTCCAATCAAGCCTGCGGTCACTATTGAGCAGTAAGACGCTGAAATTTCTTCGACCCAGTTTGGAACTCTCACAATTCGGGCGGACAGAATCTCTGAAAAGGGGTCTCCATGAGACATCAGTACTCTGGCAAACTCACTTTAAAATTACAGAACAAGGATTGAGGAGAGCATTGTGGAGTGAAGATGAGAAAGATATCCGATATGTATGTACCATACCTCGACAAATTTGACGATGAACCAATTCATTTGCTGTCTAGTCTGAACTAGCCGATAATTTGGACTCTGTCATTAATATACAAGATTTTCGCAAAGCAGCGAATAGTCTCAAAGGATCACGAGACGTTGGAGCAAAACTCTTCTGCGCGCTCCTAAGAAGTGCAGGGGTAGAAGCTCGACTTGTATGCTCTCTACAGCCGCTATCCTTCAACGCAGGCGGTCCACTCCGAGTTAATGAGACATTCAAGTCCTCGAATCAAGCACACAAATCTGAAACTGGGGTAAAGCACAGCTCAACTAATCCATCAACATATCAAAATACCCAGGCCATAGGAAATACAGGAGAAAATGACCCTAGCATACACTTAGATATGTTTACAGCTGTTCGGCGCCGTTTAGGTCATCCAAATGCTGCTGAATACAATCTTCCACAAATGAGAGCTCCAAAACTACCACATAACAAAAAACCTACTGAAATTTTACCATGTGAATCCTCATATCCCATATTCTGGGCCGAGGTTTTTGATGAAGCACATCAAAAATGGATCTCAATTGACCCGTTGGTCACTCGAACTATAAACAAGCCGCAAAAGTTCGAACCTCCAGCTTCCGATAACAAAAACAACATGTCATACGTTATTGCCTTTGAGGATGACGGATACATGCGGGATGTGACCAGAAGATATGCAAAAGCCTTTAACAGCAAGACAATAAAGAATAGAGTAGAATCCACTCCTGGGGGCGCTGATTGGATGAAAGCATGTTTGAAACCGTTAACTCGTATTCCGAGTACCGATGCAGATCAGATTGAAGACACAGAACTTGCTAGAAATGAAGCCCAGGAACCGATGCCTAAAAATATCACAGACTTCAAGAACCATCCATACCTCGCGTTGGAGCGGCACTTGCGAAGGAATGAGGTTTTAACAGTTGGAGCTCAAGAATGTGGAAAAGTCGCTACCGGTAGAGATTCACGACATTCGGGCGGCAAAAAAACAGAAAGAATTTTTAGGAGGCAGGACGTCAAATTTGCTCGGAGTGCCGATGCCTGGTATCGACTAGGCCGGGATATTCAGATGGGCCAGCAACCTGTCAAGACAGTGAAAGCGAGAAAAAAGATAACGGATGATAGTTTTGGGGTGGACGCTATTAACCTTTATACTGAAGAGCAGACAGTACTCTACCAGCCACCGCCCGTGGTCAACGGTAGGATCCCAAAAAACTCTTACGGAAATATTGATCTCTTTGTTTCAACAATGCTTCCGCATGGTGCTGTGCATTTATCAAGTGAGTCCAACTCTGTATAATAATCTTTTATAATTCTTAATTTTATAGATCAATTTGCCTCGCACGCCGCCAAAATACTCGGGATAGATTACGCCCCTGCTCTAACAGGGTTTGAATTTCATGGAAGACATGGCACAGCTATTCTACAAGGTATTGTCCTTGCAGCTGAATATCGTGAGGCTACCGAGGCTGTCATTGCAGCATTGGAAGATGAGCAGGTGCAGCTTGAAGAAAACCAATGTCGCCTTCACACGCTTCGAATGTGGAAGCGATTTCTTGTTATTCTTAGAATCAAAGAGCGTATCGAAGGGTACAATATTGAGGCTGAAAATCCACCAGAAAACAAATCTCCGCAGATTCCCACCACGATCCCTGACAGTGATGATAGTGACTGTCATGGAGAAGGTCTGGAGGATGATGATGCAGCCGGAGGGTTCTTGCGCGAATGATTCTCTATTTTATTTGATTTGACCTAACTTTAGTGGACGATGAAAGATGACAAGCAAGTACCAAGTCATGATTGGGAAGAGAGTGGCATGCAGTACCAAATATATATTCTATATTTATATACTGCCCATATCCAATCTTAAGAAAGATACGTGGGAAACGGTATTACGTTGTAAGTGTTGACTACAGTGCCCTAATGCTACAGATGAAGTCTATGTACTTATAGCCAGGTCATGTGACCGGACTAGCTTAGTTTACATGAGTAGGTGGAATAATTCCCCTTAACATCCAATCACACTGGTATTTTTACATTTATCTGCTCTACAAATAATGGGGGTTGTCGAAGTGAAATAATTATGCACGGAGCTTTCTGTACAACGTTGCTTGTTCATTGACGAGATTATGTCGTTTACAAACCTCATCACAAATTATAAGGCACAAATAAAAGAGGAAATTGTCCGAGATTTTATCATTATATCAGCGCCATATGTGAACGAAGGATTCCAATCTTTTATTGATTATTTCACCACGAAATAAAAATCTGACCCTGAACAAGCGATAGAAATTTAGGGTACAATCAATGGCCAAATAGTATAACAAATATTGTTGGAAGGCGGTTTATTTGCTGTACGCTTAGTGCGTTTCGCCTCTCTCTTGATGTATTGTATTTATTGTGACTCAGCTATTACCGTGAACTCCAGTTTTGTAATATTTTTATATAGTAAAAAAAAAATACACACTTCGCATTTATACCTTTCGTTTTGAACTGATTTAATCCTAGGTGTAGATAGATTCAGGTCACTTGATACAAATAACAATATCTCACACTGTTGACATTATTGAGTGCAGAGATAAGTCAGTTGGTAGCTCATTGCAGTTATTGATGAAAGGTTTGGTTATTTAGTTTCCTATTATTTCTGTGTTGGGATACAACTTATCGACCCTACTAGGCTCGATAATTAGTAGTCCCGACCGGCTGGTGTTTGGCGAACGGAGTGAGTGTTTGTTCTCCTGATGAGTCCATAAATATGTATGGACATGTAGGTCCTTTCTGCCTACAGGCCGGGAGTATCTTTGTCTCGGGTGGTATACTCCCTCCTTTGCCTCCTTAAAGACTTCTTTCCAGCAGTAATACTCCCGTAGATCTTCGTTCGAGTAGACACTAAGAGGAGCCGTTATCCCATCAACGTCTCCCTTTGTTATGATAACGAGGTCATGAGTGGACAGGGGAATACCTGAAATGGATGCAGATGATTATGGGTGCGCGGATATAATTGATGTGGCTGTAGTGAGAAGAGGCGTTGGAATGAACAGTAGCGAGATTATTAATATTACATTAATCTGCGGAGGTATTGCTTTCTGTAAAACTTAGAGGGGCTTCGTGTAAATGTCACGTGAATCGTCAAGAATGTAAGAGTAAAGGTATAGAATTATCTACTACTACGAGTCGAGCCTAGGACTATATTGTGTGAGTATCCCCTTGTGCGCTCCCTTGAGTATTGCCAGTAGCCAAACATCTGTGCGCGTAGATCTTACTTTCGCTTTTGGACTGGCGCGAAAACCCAGACTAACATAGGTCTGCTTACACGTTGTGATATAATCATGATCGTCTGAAAAATATTAACTCATGAATGAATCATGTCTCTATATGACACAAGGCCACAGCATACATCACTAGTGTACAGGTTAGGCGAGCATGTATATAGTTTCATAGATGTACCCACAATAAATGGACACAGGTTTAGGCTTATACTTTCTGCCTATATACCTACAACATAATATTTTATGGGTCTATTCACTGTCAACAAACAATTATAACATCATCCACACATCATCACTCCGCAATGTGACTTCCGCATAGCTCATAACCACAACACTTACTCCTCCCATGATTCTTACCGCAGGACAAACCGAATGTCGTGAAAGGATATCAGAAAAGTCTTGGTCGAGAGTGTCTGTCGTATAAAAGCCTAGCCTAGCATCCGGAAGTCGTTAGGGACGTGGGGTCGTCGAGTAACTCATGTATTTCAGATGCCCTCCTGGCTAGTAGATTCGGAAGTTAAGATAAGTAGGGACGATATAGTAGACGAGTCGAAATCTGCTTTTCTTGAGAGCGGATGGGTCTTTTACTTTGCTTTCGTGGGCTTTTTGTTTGCGCACTGGAGGGTAGCACATGTTATAATATAACGAGGGCTTCTCTGACTACCGCTGTAGCGTTTGGTACCGCATTATCTTTCCTCATTCCCAGCATCATTATCATCGTCTTTGTCGTCTTATGAATTATCGGAAGCGTATCTTTGACGAAGGGGAAGATAACTCAGCTCAATGTTGATAAGGTGTTACTCAATCTCGGCTTTGCAGACTCTACAGTGAGGTCTGGAGGTTCGTAGGGGACAGCACTGATAGATGTTGAGAATAGTCCCCCTTTGGCGAACGGAGATTGCGTATACCCTGTGTTTGCGTTGTTTACTGCTGTTAATAGGAGATCCCGCATCCGCCATCTAATGGGATTTAAAGGAGTCTGGTATCTGTGTTTAGAAGAATAATCGAATTGACATCCTTTTAACCTTCATGATTCCATAACCTTCCATCTACCAACAAGTCCACGAACTAAGTACAGTCAGACCCCTGTTAAGACGATATTGACGCTTACACGATATATTTTCCAGGACGCACTTCGTTCTCATGAATTTACCGGTTACACGATTATCATTCTTCAACCCCTGAATATCGTCTTAACCAGGTTTTTTTGTTAGATTGTTGCTAATAATGCCGCCAAAAAAATGGAATTTATATAGAGCAACGACGTGCTCTGCGACGATAAGCGCACCACCAGGTCCCAAAAGCAACACAAAAACAGTGCTTTGAGTGGTTCCTCGCTGAGTACGGCCATCGATTAAGCCAGTCCACAGTCTCCGAGTTCTTAAACAAGACCTTTGCGAAACTCGACGAAGCTTCAAGTACTACTGCGCTACGACAGCGAGCTGGAAACTGGCATGTCCTACATAGTCACAGACTCAGATAGGACAATATTATGAATTAAAAAAAAGAGTAGCCTAGATAGCTGTATTAGGTAATCATATCCTTTTAAACGATATCCCCTATAAGACGATATTTGTCACGACCCCGATTACATCATCTTCGCCCGCGCCGATATTTATACCTGTTAGACACTGAGGGTCAAATGAAAAATATAAAGTAAAGTTGTATTGATGAAATCTCTGCTACTCAACTCCTCTCCAGCAGTGATGCTATATACCCATCTGAAACTATTTCGAGAGATTATCTTCTCCTCGTTTCCCAAAATTACATATGAATTATATTACATGTGTTGAAGATCAAAAGATCTCAAGTTGGAGCTTTGAACATCCTTGCTATCCTGAACATCCTGATCACCATATCCCCGGTGAGATATCAAAGCTCGAGTTAGTTAATCTGACAAGATGTGTCATCCCACTATCCAATGATTCCCATTACCATATTCAGTAGGTTCCAAACCATCAGATGTTTAACAAATACCCGACGGAGGAAGCAGAGCGTAGCGCACAAATCTGGGAGACAGTTCTTTGGGATGGACGTGGGAGGGATCAGGACAACTTGAAAAGATGATGCAAAGGAAGGGTATAACCTCGGAGGGCGTGAGATACCGAAATTTGGCAAGGAGTTTTACGAATCGAGCTTTGTGCACGCCAAGACTTCGCTTGCGAGAGTGCAGCTAACACTATAAACACAAGCAAACGATAGAAGGCGTTGTGGCCCGCCTCCTGGTGGTGTTCTCTGGTATAGTCTGAGTAGCCTGGGCACCTACTCCACTTGGGAAGGAGATATCTCAGATTACATTTCGCGCGGAGAAAAGTTGATGGATGACGGAGGCATGTCTGGATAACTCAGGGTTTTTGAGATGTTCCCCTGAGTGGGTATTCACGGATGAGGGTTGACTTGGGGTGAAGAAAAAGCCGCCATAACTTCGCAGTAGTACTTGCAAATGAAATCCGAGGCATGATTGCTCTTCCTTTACGTTGAATCATCTATTCTGTACTTTTCTTTGATATTGTGTCATAGCTAGATAGCTGCATACGCAATTAAAATCTGATGCAAAAAAAAAAGATTACATCGTCTTGACAGGGATCTGACTGTACAGTCTCTTTTTTTTTTCTTTTTTTTTTAATTCATATTGTATTGAGCTATATAGCTATGACAATTTGGTTCTAATTTACAACAAAAATTATCCTGAATAATATCCTTCCACCTATTCCTTGATCCCTTCTATTAATGTCTACTTATTGTCAATCTAATCAATCTCCCTTGTGTACACTTATGCACCTGGAAGTCTTTAAAAATTCTAGCAACGCCTCCTTTCCCCTGTTAGTCCGGAATAGAATTGCTAGATTAAGTGGTAATATATCTTTGAGAATATTCTTTCTCTCTTCTTTGAATTTTCTGCATTGCAGTGTGAGATGGTTCATTGTCTGCTTTCTATTTGCACAGAAATTGCAGGTTTCATCTTTTGATTTTCTAATTCGGTATAAATATGCCTTCACATTCCCTATACCTGTCCTTGCCTGGAAATGTGAGGACTCTGTCAATCTGTTATGACCTCTAAATTTGATTGGCTTTGTTGAGAATACTGGAATGGTCATTTGAGCCTGGATTCTGTAAAACTTTCCAAGGCCCTTGCTTTTCCTCCCTTCTTCCTCTTGGAAAAGCTCCGAGGTCCATTCCCGGCACCATGCCTTTATAATTAATTCCTTGGATCTTTGTTTAAGAAATGAATGTGATGTTGACACATTCTTTTTAATAACCATTTTTTTGCTGGCCCCTCTGGCTAAGCTGTCAGCAATGTACAGTCTCTTAAGGGTATCAAAAGTACAATTGTCAAAATGACTGGTGTAATCCCTGTACATATTGCCTTAATTGGTATGGTCTTCATGCAGGCCCATATCTTATTTATCGACTAGTTTTGCAAGCAGGGGTACTATCCAACGATATTCCGTGAAAGTCT